AGGCCTTTACTCGTATATATCTATTAATTTAAAAATATATTACTTAGAAGTTAAAGAAAATATAAAATATATATTTTAAATAATTTTAACGCGCTTAATGTATTTAAAATAGATTTAAGCGAATAAGAAATTATAAGTACGCTACGTAACGAGGCGAGATAAGACGAGATTTTAGATACTTAATACTATCTTACTTCGAATCGAGGTTTTAACGAAGTAGAATAGAATTAAAATAGAGTTTTTCTTTTAAGATAATAAGAGTATTCTATTACTTCGCTAAGTTTATTAATTAAATTAGCTTTAGACTATTACTCTCGCTAACTCTATTAATTAAATTAATTTAAGATTATTATTCTTATAATAACTTTAGATATAAGATTATTATTCTTATAACGAGCTTTAAATATAATCTATTCTATCTTTCTAAGTATTTTTCTAAGTATCTATATCTACTATATACGTAATATTAAAATTTAAAGAATTTATTTAGAGGTATTTAGAGGTACTTAAGGTTTACCGAGATAGCCGAAATATACCCCGAAACCCCGCCTTCGGGTCGGGGCGGGGTCGGGATTTTGAAGGTGACTCGAAACCTCGACCCGGAACCCTACCTCGACCTTAACACCCTCCGAAACTCCGTCGAGATTCCCTATCCCGTTACGCAGCGTAATTATAAGAGATACTTAGATATATAATTTTCTCTATAATAATAATAGCGAGATATTTTTAAATTATATATATTAATCTCTTTATAATTTATAAAAATATTCTTTCTTTTAATAAATATAAAATTTTAAAATATTTAATAAACTAGTTTTAGAGTAAAGAAAAAAAGTTATATTTAATTTTTAAGTATGAAATTAGAGAGATAATTAAGTAATATTTAATTAAATCGTTTATAATAATAATCTAAATCTTTCTATATTTAAAGATATCTTTTTTTATATTTTATATATTTATAAGAGACTTTAACGTTATATAAGAATAATAAGATATTTTTATTTATTAATATCGTTATTATTAATATAGAGATCTATATCGAAAGTTCTATATCCGCTAAGACTCTTACGCTTAGACTTCGAATAACGCTCTATCTAAAGAGTTATCTAAATAATATATCTAAAGTTCTTCGAAATCGCATCTAGCTCTAGCCAGGTTTTGAGGCTTAATGCTTCTATTAAGCTAAGAGAAGTATCTAAAGTCCTATTTATACGCTATAAGAAGATATTCCTAGAGCTTCCCCTCTATAGGGCCGCTTTTCGAAAGTAGAGTTAGGGCTATACTAGTGCGGGTATAGAACTTTCGATATAGACCTCTATATCTAATTTTATATTAAAAAAATAAATTATCTTCGCTTTACTCTTCGCTTTACTCTTCGTAAGTTCGATAACTATATAATTACTTATATATATATATACTTATTTATTTATTTATATACGAGTAAAGGCTTATAAATTAAATTTATAATTTTTTTTTTAATTAGAGCTATCGAGTAAATTTAATAAGCGATCTTTAATAAGCGATATTTAAATACCTTATCTTTTAATAATTATAAGATCGAATTTCAAAATTCTTAAAGTATTAAAAAGCGTAAGTTATCGGCTATAATTTTAAAAAAAAATCTAAAAATTTTAATAGAAAATAGTAAAGTTATTAAAGGATTAAAAGTAGAATAAGAGATTTTAATAGTTATAAACGCTAATTTATTTATCTATAATAACTTAGTCGATCTAATTAAAGAGCGTAGCGAACTTAAATTTATAATTAATTAGTATATATAAAAGAATAAGATAGAGCTAAACTAGAAAATCTTAAATTTGTATATGTAGTCAATTATTAATTTAGAGTTACTACGCTCTTTAGTTAGATCGGCTAAATTACTGCGGGTAAATAAATTAGCGTCCGTAACTATTAAAAAAATAGGTATACGTTATTCATAATAGAAATAACTTTTTTGTTTTCTATTGAAATTTTGAGATTTATTTTTTAAATTATAAAACGTTATTTGCGCTTTCCAAATTTTTAAGAATTTTGAAATTTGATCTTATAATTATTAAATCGCAAGGAATTCAAATATCGCTCACCAAAGATCGCTCACCAAAAACCGCTCACCAAATTTACTCGACAGCCCTGATTAAAAAAAACGGTTATGAATTTAATTCATAGGCCTTTACTCGTTATATATATAAACTTAAGATTTTATAGCTTAGCTTTATCTTATTTTTTTATATATATTAATATTACTATAGCGACTCTTATAAATTTAATTATTTAAAAAATAAGAGAAGACTATAATATCTAATTAAAGTAATAAACTAATTAATAAGATTATAATATTTTCTCTAATATACTATACTATTAATTCGACGAGTATTATAATAATTATTTCGAGAATTTATATACTTTAAGAGAATTTCTATATCGTATCTACGCGTTTATTTAAGATATATAATATTTTTAAATATTAATATTATTACTATAATTAAATTAGCTAAATTTTTTAATAGAATAAAATAAAAGTTTACTTTTTAATTATTATATTATAACTTCTAATTTAATAAAAATTTATTTAATTATATTATTCGACTTTTTTTAAGAATTTTAAAAAAGATTATATTACGTAGTTATATATTTTTATTAAAAATTATATATACGTAAGATGTAAATATTATATATCGGATAATATACTAAAAAAATAAGTCTTAATAGGGTTTTCTACTTAGATCCACCTTAAGGCCGATGGGGCTAAGCTGAGACTACTTAGAGGGAAGGGTATGACGAAATTTCGGCCCGGAAAAAAGGGTTTTCCGATTTATCACTACTACCAACCCTTCCGAATAGAGTCTGAGTACTGAGACTAATCTTTTCGGACAACTTGCCTGTGGAAGCGAGATTGTTCGTGTGGCAACTAGAGTACAAGTAGAGTAAGGTATATTCTAAGCGGCCGTTGGATTACGGCATCATTTTAAATACGCCTTGAAATAATTGTCCAGGCGCACATAAGAGGCATTTTATGATGAAGATTCTTTGCCAAGTCATGATGCTTATGAATATGATACCTAAGTCATGCGATGAGGATTGGATAAAGGAGGTCCGAGTCTGCAGTAGCTCAACTTCTACTCATCATACACTTCGCCTTCCTTGAACCAGCGAGCTTTATAACAGACGCTCGCCCTCCTCCTCCGCAGTAATGTCGACTTCAAATACTGATGGTAATGGGTCAATTGATACGCCCCCAAGAGCTCCTTCGCCTATACACAACTTTGGAACTCTAGCAGTTCATGCTGGCAGTCCTCATGACCCAACAACGGGCGCTGTCATTGAATCCGTAAGGTTCTCGGCAGCTTCCTGCTAGTTAAAAGCTTTACTAAGTAGCAATGCTCATTCAGATCTCCCTTTCTACTACCTTCGCACAGACTGGTGTAGGCAAACCTGTTGGCCCGTATGAGTACACAAGAAGCTCGAACCCGAATCGGTAACGAATATCTGCTTCAGGCGCTTTCCATCGGTTCTGACATGCTTCAAGGGACAATTTTGAGCAAGCTGTAGCAGCTCTTGAACATGCCAAATTCGCCCTAGCTTTCTCATCTGGGTCCGCAACCACAGCCACAATCTTACAGTCTCTCGCTCAAGGCTCTCATGTTGTCTCGGTATCAGATGTCTACGGCGGGACGCACCGCTACTTCACTAAAGTCGCAAAGGCCCATGGCGTTCAGGTTACCTTTTCTCCCAGCATAGAGATAGACGTGGCAGAGCTCATTCGTCCAAACGAGACGAAGCTGATATGGATCGAATCGCCCAGCAACCCTACGCTGAGTCTGGTTGACATACGAGCTGTTGCCACTATAGCCCACCAGCACGGTATCATGGTCGTCGTGGACAATACATTCCTTAGCCCCTACATACAAAACCCGCTAGACCATGGCGCAGATATTGTTATACACTCAGTCACAAAATACATCAATGGTCACTCGGTATGTTTGATCCCTCCATCGCAACGAGACTCTTGGCTCATTGATCTTCTAGGACGTCCTCATGGGCGCCGCAGCCTTCAATTCGGAGGACATCAAAGACCGGCTCACTTTTCTCCAGAACGCCATTGGTGCTGTCCCCTCCGCTTTCGATTGTTGGCTTGCTCACAGGGGCCTAAAAACGCTGCATCTGCGCGCCCGCGAAGCCTCCCGCAATGCCCATTCAATCGCGACGACCCTCGCCTCCTCCCCTCTTACCCTGCTAGTGAATTATCCTGGTTTGCCGTCACATCCCCATTATGCTATCGCACTAAAACAACACCGCGCTGGTCTCGGTGGTGGGATGCTCTCCTTCCGTATCAAGGGTGGTCCTGGAGCCGCGGAGAGGTTTTGCCAGAGCTGCAATCTCTTCACGCTGGCGGAGAGCCTGGGGGGTGTCGAGAGCTTGTGCGAAGTGCCATCCAGTATGACGCATGCTGGAATACCGAGGGAGCAAAGGGAGGCGGCCGGCGTGTTCGACGACCTGGTACGGGTGAGCTGTGGTATAGAGGATGGTGAGGACTTGAAGAAAGATGTACTGCAGGCTCTTGAGAGGGCAGTGGTGTGGCCGAAGGTCAATGGCAAGTTGGCATTAAACGGGCATACCTGAACCAGCGTTGATACGGGAAGGCATGCATGTCGAAAGGGTATATTTGTGGCGTTCTCGGAGGCTTCTTTGTCATAAATGGCGGGCATTTACGACTGGAACAATGCTAGATAGACTTCCGTGGCATAAGTGGAAATTGGGCATAATTCGCGCACAATTCGCGCATGGTATGACGAAGATCTTCTCGAAACCGAGTGTGATTGACGGAACAGGCTTGATCACGAAATGCCCAGATGACCAGTAATGCAATTAAACAGTTAATTCAATAATGGAAACGAATCTTGAAACTCGGATTTCCCATGGAAGCATCATGCGACATGAATTACCGGTACCGCTTCCGAGTCAGCTTTAGACCAGAATACATACACCTCGGTCTCCACGACATGGCAACTCTCCCCAAACACATCTACACCCAAATAACCCCAGATGCAGGTACAGGCTTATTTGCCTCAGAAGCCATCCCGCCTGGAGTGGAAATCCTCCGTATTGAGAGGCCATTAGTCTCTGTGCTTGACTCTCCCCACCTCAAAGACACATGCTCCGAGTGCAGTCTGTGGCTGCCACAAAATGACGATGACCGAGACCCAAAGTGCAAGAGGCTGAAAGCCTGTCAGGCTTGCAAGGTCACCAAATATTGCTGTAAAGTAGGTCTATTTCGGCTTGCTCTAAAGTATCCCGCGGAACGAAGCATCAACTACTGTTCGAAGCAATCGTGTATTTTCGTTTCACAAGTTTCTTGTCTATCTCTATTTCCTCATATGTGAAGTCTCTCGGGCTGTGTGGACTTCTGTGCACTGTTCTGGGAAGATTGAGCAGACGCATTTGATTTGGAAACCATATGTTTGCATTTCAAGCCTTCAGTACTCGTCCAATGCACTCTTGCTCGCCCACTAAGCCGAGCTCCTGCAGGAGTGCCAGACTCAATCATGGAAGAAACACCACAAATACGAATGCAAGATCTTTGCTAAGCTCTATCCGAATGTCCTTCCAAATACCGTCCGTATAGTGATGCAGCTTTTACTTCGACTGAACGCGAAATCCCTTCCTGATCCAGAATGGCAGGCCTTTCTCGATCTGCAGTCTCATGTTGATGAAATCCGCTCTTCTCAGATAAAGAATGAAGATGGTCTCACGACCTGGCATGCCATCGAGCTCATGAGTCAAGCCGCTTCATCTTACTCAGGCAGCCAAGAACCCATCTCATTCATCCAGACGCTCACGGCACGCATCCTCATCAATAGCCACACTCTCACAACCCCAAACCTCGACCCTTTAGGTCTGTGCCTCTCACCTCATTCGGCTCTCCTGAATCACAGTTGTACACCTAATACCGCCATCATTTTCTCGGGCTCAACACTCACACTGCGCTCCCTTGCTGCCATCTCAGCCAAATCTGAGCTCTCCATCTCCTATATTGACACTACAAATCCCACATCAGCCCGCCAATCTGAGCTTCAGAGTCGTTACTTTTTCAACTGCAGCTGCTCACCCTGTAGCGCAGGTATTACCAACGGCCTGCCGGACCCTCGTCCAGACCACAACTTTGATGCCGTTCAAGCACGTGCCGTAGGGTTGCAAGCAGAAGCGTCCACACTACCACAGGATCGAGCAGCCGCCTTGCTCAAAAGCGCGCTCGGTTTCCTCGGTCACTACCCTCCTCACCGGCAACCCAGTCCCTCAATCCTTCATACGGCCTTCCTTAATGCCATCGCTACTCAATCCTGGGCCATCGCTCTTAGCTATGCCTTGAAAGCGTATTTCTTGATAGATCCATTGCACTATCGATCAAGCTGGCATCCAGTACGTGTAGTCAGGAAGTGGGTCCTTCTGCGCCTTGTAACCCAGATTGCCGGGATCGTGAGCGAGGGAGATGGTAGCATCAAAGGATTGGAAAAGTTTGGCATTAATTGGCAAATAGTTGCGGTGGGGCTTTTCCACGAAATATCCGATGGGGCTCCCCATAGCCACGGTAGTAATAGCCCATTCACCGCGGAGGTGAAGGCATTTGGAGAAGGGGCAGGCATGGGAAGAGGGAAGTGTGAAAAGGCTTTATTAGAGGAGGAGTGGGCAAAGTTGAGGAAAGTAGCTGACGGCTAAAGTGAGAAAGTGAAGGAAGAAGACAACGAACATGAGAAAGGAAAAGAAAGCCCTATAAACGGTCGATTCCGGCATGCCTTTGCAGGCGAAACCCCTGGAAATGTGCCCTTTGAGTCACGTTACTGTCACAGAGCCTTGGAAAAGGTAAATTGATGTCTTAAATGTATAGGAATGATCAATCGTAGGTAAGACACGAGCCAACAAACGCACGTAGACACATCGGCGTAGACTGGTGGGATCAAGCCCATCAAAGTTAGTCATGTTGATACAGTATGGACGCTAGTTTTTGAGCCTATGCAACGGGGAAAAGCCATGAATAATCTCCGTCCTAGATGCAGCATGCATAATGGTATCATCCCAATGCAAGAAGATCACATCGCCCAGAGATCCAACTCCAAAAGCGCCCAGTTCCATGCTAATGACGTAGTCCAACCTTCCTTTGTCGCTGATATCGCGCCGATCATCATATCCATTCCTCACACATTGCTCCGTCCTAAGTACGTCAAGCAGCGAACCGGTTCATTTGTCCGTTAGACGCGGTACTGACAGGTGCTGCCCCATGGAACTGATGTGGTATGGGTGAGTGTCGCGAACCGACGGTAGCGTCCTCGGCTTTAATAACGGGATACCGAACAGGAGTGGATGTACGAATGCCTGGTGCTGATCCACCGGTGTGCATAAACGGTAAAGGCTTAGGGAGGGCGCTTGGTGTTTGGCTGTCTGTCGACATATTCTTGGGTAGAGATGGTGAGTCTTTTTTAGTTGCTTTGGCTCTCGAGCTCTCTTGCATCGCTAGGTTTGCCGGAGTTGAGTCCAATAGACTTCCATTTACTACTCTGCTTGGTGTAGAGTCCACAATGATCTCGCTCATCTCAGGATTTCGCCCGGACTGTACGAGTTTAGATGCTTCTCCTGTGGCAGGGGTCGGAGCCATGGAGGAACTTGGTCCAGACTGTGGCTCCGCGATGGTGGATGCAGACCCCCGAGGCTCGGTGAGGTCAACCAGTCGTCTTTGTCCCGCTGGAGTGAATGCCGGGGTTGCGGACATCTGTCGATGCATCCGTTGCTGGTGATGAGCCGGGTGTTGCGGATTGGCCCACGGGTTTTGTTCGAGGAAATGCTCCTCCGCTCCAGGCCTCTGCCGAGGGAAACTGGCTGTGGCAGACAGGTTAGCTCTCAGCGCCGCGTGATGACTCTGAGCGTTCTGCGCAGCGCCGAACGCAATCTAGAAATCAACAGTCAGCGCTACTATTGCCCGAGAACTCTCAGTGATCGACGACTTACTCCCATGCTCCGTAAATCATCGTCGATCTCCTTCGCTCGAGCACTGCTTATTTCTGGTGCCGCTGGAAAGCCCACATATTTCGCTACACCGGCGAGTATCGAAACCTCTGTATTGTACGCCGTTTGATGTGTAATTTGCTGCGATCTCTTGGTCGTGAAAGTGTACATGTAATCCGGCACATCACCTTCGCAGCTTCTCCTCTCCCGTTGTACTTGATAATATTTCTTGTTGAGCGACTCCAAGTAACTATCTCGAACTTCTCGGACGGTCTGCATATACTGCGAATGAGCCTGAGCTTTGTTTGCAATACTCTCTCTTTGCAGCGTCATCAATTTGAACTTCATCAGCTTGTTTTCGTACTCGACCTTTTGGTCGCGACGTTGGTCAATGACCTCTTTCATGGCCAACATTTCGGGATGAATTGGCACGGGCTGTTCCAGCATAGCAAGCTCATGGTTGCATTGAGCGATGCGTTCTTCGTATATTCTTGGCAAATTAGGATTTGAGAACGTCATGTTAGAATGTAGCGACACTCACTTGTCTCTGAGCTTTGCAAAACACCTCTCTATAGCGCTCAAAGAGTCCATCGCAGATTTCTTCTCGACGACTGTGTAATCATGAATTAGCCTTTCCCCGGAAAAACGTCATGAATGCGCTTACGCTCTTCCATCTTGAGTGAATTTTCAGCTTCAACGCCCTCAGCCATGTTCTCCATTGGCGCATCTTCTTCGTTGCTGTACATAGCCTCGGCATTTCCACCGTGCTCGACAGTACTCTCTGCGCCCGAACCCGCATGTTCCGCATTCGCGGGTTCATCGTTCAGTGTCCTCTTGCCTTTTCGCTTTCCCTTCTTATGCTTCTGTTTCGGCAGTGCTTGAGGCTTTCTTGGCTGCTCTTCGTTGCTAGGAGACATGGCCGAATGGGCAATGACTTGCAGGTCACCATTCGCCGCTGGGACATCTGCAGCAATCTCGGCACCCGATTTTGCTGAAGCCTCTGCAGCATTGTTATCAAACAGCTTTATCGCTTTCTTAGAAGGTTCGGGCATGGAGTCCTGGTCGCTTGCGCTATCTTGCTCGAAGCTTGAACGTTTTCGCTTCATCGGAGTAGACAGTGTAAGTGACAAATCTTTGCCGCTCTCTTCACCAGAGTCTTCAAGAGAGCTAATATCGGAAGTCTGCTCAAGTCTCTCCCCTTTAGATTTAGGGCCTGGCGCACGGTCAGCCATTCCTAGCGGAATAGGCTCTGTAGAAAACTGACCAGGGCTGGCAAGTTTTTCAGATAGAACACGAGCTACTGATTGATTCCGGTCCTCACCGTGGGCGCTATTGGTAGAGCTGAGGACCATGTCCCGGTGTCTCCGTTGCTTTTGAGGCGAGTCTTCCAAACGTTCTGTCTCCGCTTCCGTGTCATTCGCCTCCGAACCCGTACGAGATGAATGTTCTATACCCGCACGATCTCCGAGCTCGCTCAGTGAACTCGATCTATCGTCTTCCTCGGCCTGCAATTTTTCGCCGTCTCCAACGCCAGTGCCATTATCGAGATCAGCACTTGACATGGTTTGTGGGACCATGGTTGGTACAGAAACTACGGTATCCGTAGCCATGGCTGGTACCGTATGTTGGAGGAGTAGTTGAGGGCTCTGGGGCGCCCGTCTGATGAGGGCGTTCTTGAGTTTGGGACCCGCGAGACAGCAGTATTTAGGGAAATATTACTGTCTCCTGTCCTGTATGCTTGCCAGTCTTCGAAAGTGAGCGGTGTGGTATGATACAAGTCGGAGAAGGTAAATGGGCGCTTTGGTGAGGGTGGGAGCATGTGAATCTGTTGGCGGAGAGTGAAGGGAATCAAAGCGAGAGGTCAGTATTCTGGTTCTGGAGGATTCTTGGTCTCAGCGAGTGTTCCTTGAAGGTCGAGTGGAATTTGCAAAGCGTCATACAAGACTCTCAAAAAAGAGCGATTGTTCTCTGAGCACATCTCTCAGTCACAGGGAAAGCAGAAAGCAGCGCTAGAATCACACCCCTGTCGATGTACTATCGCCGATAATCGGATAAAAGATTTCCCGAAGCTAGCGCTATCAATCCAATCGCAATGTGATGGAGGAGACCATATTGATATATTTGGTAAGGCAAAGTCGAAATCACGCAAACAGGGCAGTTCAAGCGAGACACAAACAATCATGGTATCTGGCGCCGATCGGCTGAATCAGAATTATGATCCTGCTCTGGTTTCGCTATTTGCTCAGTCAGTAAGTAGAGTACTGATGCAGTCCACTTGTTCCTAAATTGTTGACGTTGTTCCAGCTGGGCGCTGTGAAAACTGCCGCCAGACCAGCTCCTCAGTCAGAGAGCCAATCTGCCATGACTCGCACTACCAAAGCCAGCAAACCCCTAAATGATGCAGACAGTAAGGGAAATGACCTTTGTATGGAGACATCCATGGAACAGGTTCCTATAAGCTTCTCAAATATTGAAGATTCCAAGGCATTTATCCCCGGCAGCGGTACAGCAAAAGGCTCCAGCCGAAAGCGGAAGCGAAAGGACGCAGGAGATGACCTTGAGGGTAGATATATGAGCCAATTGGCTGAGGAGCAGATCAAGGAGGACCAGAACCGAGCCCGAACCTTCCACATTGAAAGTCAGAAAATAGAGACCCGAGGAGTCGCGAATGGAGACATAGGCTCTCCCCATGAAGACGGCGAGTCTACCTCAGACCCCGACACTGTGACTGGCGGCGAGGACGAATTTGCTGTAGGGGATTTACCGCAGCATGAAAGTTTAATCACGTCAAGAGAAGACTTGGATCTGGAGAAGTCATCGCGGACTGTCTTCCTCGCCAATGTCTCTACTATGGCTATAAAATCAAAAAAAGCCAAGAAAACACTGATGGACCATCTTACCTCATTCACCTCCTCGGTACCTGGAAGGAACCGCGGACATGGTATTGAATCCCTACGCTTCAGATCTACTGCTTTCGCAGCTAGTGGAATCCCGAAAAAAGCAGCCTTTGTAAAAAAGGAGATCATGGATACTACCACAAAATCCACCAACGCCTATGTTGTCTACACTACACAACTGGCCGCCAGAGAAGCAGCCACGAGGTTGAATGGTAGCATTGTGCTTGAACGTCATCTACGCGTGGACTCCGTCGCTCATCCTGCAAAGATCGATCATGGAAGATGCGTCTTCGTTGGCAATCTTGGGTTCGTAGATGATGAGACGAACATCAGAGCTGCCGAGGACGAGGAGAACAAAAAACGGCCACGCAAAGCGAAAGAACCAGCAGATGTTGAGGAAGGCCTATGGAGGCAATTCGAAAAGGCCGGGACTGTAGAGAGTGTGAGGGTTGTCAGGGATAAGACGTGAGTACGCTTTCTTGCTAGTCAATACTGTGAATTGGGTCGCAAGACATGTTGCGCGAGCAAGATACTCATTCCACCCTACGAGACCGTCTTACGGCTCAAATCTTTCCCTGGTTAGGTCCTGCTGACTCCGAGATATGTAGGACGCGAGTGGGCAAAGGATTTGCATATGTTCAATTCAAGGTAACGAGAGCTTGTATTTGAGAGGGAAAGCCTTGGATACTAATGTGTCTTGGTCTAGGATGCAAATTCCGTTGAGAAGGCACTTCTTTACCACGAGAAGAAATTCCCACCAAGGCTCCCACGCATTCTGAGGGTCACCAGAGCAAAGTACACGAAAAACGCAGGTAACCGCAA